AAAACCTGTACGTGCCTGTTCGTAGGGGCTTTGATTCATAAGTTCCAAAAGCTGGAAAAAACCTAGGTGTCCTTCACCTGGGTCGCGGATAAACGGAGCAGAGTGGATCCGTAGTACGGAATCCTGCTCCACGGTGGGAGGGGATGGGCCGCCGATGCACTTCACCGGCACGGATGAATTGCCCGCGTTATTATGCCCACGAAAGAAGCCAGACTCCGAGGATACGTGCTATACTACATGGTTCCACTGATGTGACAAATGGAGGAGACGAAACGAGAGGATAGGAAAGAGGACAGATCAGTGGGTGCCCAGAGCTGGGTGGAGGAACTGTAAAGGGGCACGTGGGAAGTTTTGGGCCGATGGAACTGCTCTGTGTCTCCACTGTATCTGTTTGCCAAAATTCATAGAACTATACATGAAAAAGAGTGAATTTTACATTTTGTAAGCTCTATCTCAGTATACCTGACTTAAAATTTTTTTGATATGGGCTCTAGCCACCTTTTCCGACAGTCTAAACAATATGAAGGAATGAGGCGAAAAGCCTCATTCCTACCCTTGCCACCCACCAGCTCTTCAGTGTCTTATGTATCTTGAAGTGTCTCTCTGCAAGTATCATCATAGATGTATATATGTTCTTTTTTTTTTTTACGTCTTTCCCATGCAGAACACAGCTTATGAATCTAATTTTCTGCACCGGCCCCTTCTCCATGTAGTATATGTCCTAGTTCATTTCATATCAGCGCATCAAGGTCTTCCATTCTTTTCCACAGCTGCATGGCAAGAATGTTGCTGTGGGAGTGCGTATAATTTATTTAACCAGTTCTCCCCTAGTGGAGCCAGGTTTTTTCCAATCAAACGCAGTACTGTGCCAAATAACCTTGTATATACCATCAGTTCTGCCGTAACACGTGTGTTGAAAACATTTGTTCTAATGCAGTTGATCTCTCGGGGAACAGTTGGAGCCTAAGGTGAATTCTGAGTTTGCGCATGTGTGATTTTTATCCCTGAGAAGCACTAGGTGAGCACAGAAAATTGTGGAATGGAGTCGTGTGGGAATACACAAAACACATGCATGCACTCACCCCAGACTGCCGTCAGCGACCTCATCTCCCCGTCGAGTCACACGGGTCCACACCTGGTGTTACACCTTCCGCCCAACCCTCAGAGCTCAGGTAGCCCTCCTTTCTCCACTTCACAAAATCTCAACAAGCCACAGCCCTCCCATGCCCACTTCCCCAGGCATCCTGTGTGACACCAGGCTACCGTTTTTATTAGGTGTGTCACTGACAGGGTTTGAGTGCTACGCCCCTAACTTCATTTTTGCCGGAAGCCCTGTGGTTTTTATTGCGTGATTTTGTGTAGTGCAGTGATTTATGACCTGTGATGTATGTGTATTGTGTTATACAGAACTGACCGTACTGTGTGCAGGCGTATCTGTAGAATAGATTTCCAAGTGAAAAGGTCCACAGTTTTAGGAGTTCTGTCCTGTGGGATTACTGCTGTGATAGGTTGAAGTTTATACAGGTGATTGGGGTTTTCCTTTTTCATAGGAAGTGTTTATGGTAGAGCTGAAAGGTGTGTGTCAGCATGGCTTGGGAATAATTCTGCTCCCTTTCATCTCAAATCCGGGGGTGGGAGGTGGGTTCTGGGTGTGTGATGGCAGTTGAGGAAGCTCTTTGCGTGTGGGGGGGAGGCAGATAACCTCATGGAGGCAGGAATCTGGCCAGAGGGATGTCTCCCTCTATTTCTTCAGAGTCACCGGAAACAGAAAGACGGCTTCACGCCAAGACACAAGAAGGGATTGGTTATCAGAATGGGAAGTACCTGGTTGTGTGAGCCCGTGGCAATCCAAACACATCCACCGAGTGCCATCCAGAAAGAACGGCCTTCAGAGGCATTGTAAGTCCCAGAGCTCAGACCTGGAGCCCACGGCTAGGGCACTCAGAGCAAAGGCATTTGCTAAGAGGAGCTGATGCTTTCTTTCCTAAAGAATGTGAAGGTAAAAGAGTCAAAACTTGGAGATTAGGGAGAAAGTTTAGGAAATGGACCCAACTGTTTGTTTTAATTGGTATTTAAAGTTTTCAAAAAATGTCAGACCCTCTAGCTATCCTTTCACTACTTCATTAAAGAGTTCTATTTAAAAGCAAAATAATTCATAATTGAGTAGGAAAACCTAACTATAAGAAGTCCACTCAGGGCCCTAGTTCCCTCAATCTCAGCTTGCACTGCTGGAGCCAGGAGGAAGTAAATGACCTTAACAGTCTTGAACACCGAATGACAATAGACTTTATGCTTTTTCAGTACAGTTTTGGTTTTGTTTTTTTTTTTCCATTTTTGTTCGGTTGATAAAAATTGCTTTCTGTGTCATGAAGTGGCACTAGGAACTATTATGATACTGAAGAGATAGAAGTTAGGAAAATAAATTAGATAAAGCAGCCTTGAATAAGTTAGTATTTAAAATTTAACAAAGAAGGAAGTCATTTGTTTTCTTAGGTAATGGGAGCACGGCAGGTCTGATCTGGAGACTGGTGTTTAAACCTGTGATTTTCTTGTCACCACTGATTTTGAAACCCTGCTCCATTGTTTGGGGATTGCACAGCTCATTTCTGCATTTTTTCATAAAGACGTTGGAAAAGAAGAGTATCTCACACATTGTCAACTCTTTTTGAAAATAGTAATTACTGATTCAGCTAAGCTGCTCTTCATTTAATTTATTACCTACTGAGGATTTCTTTACTGATATTTCTCTATTAAAATTTTGATTTGATATTAATATAATGACACCATAACAAGAAATGGAATTTCAAACCCTTCATCTTCATGGAAAATGCAGTTTGCATTCCTCTGAGGCCTCTTGCCCTGTTGTATGGTTAGAAAGCTATATGTCCATTCTCTACTTGTTTTATGGTGATTTGCTGTAACTGTCTTGCATTTAGAAAAATGTCTTGTGTTTTGACTCTTCCAGGATCTTAACATTGTCCATCTTATAGATATAAAATTCTGCAGGAATTAGATATTAATAGATATTTCAGTACCTTTTTTGAAACATAGGACTGTTCATGACTGTTCTTAAAGCTTCATTCTGAAGAAACCTCTTATTCTCCTGGCTACATAAATGCTAATCCAAGAGATTAGGGATTGTCTGTATTATGTGATCAAGATTTCTATGAAGGAATACCTTTGGGAAAAGAGACAGCGTGGCTCTGAGGCATTAGTTGGCTATTCGCTTTGTGGTTCCCCTCCCGCCCCCCGATATTATTCTCGTAATATCCCAGATCGCACGCTTAGGAGAACGAGAAAAGCAGTACTGTGACTTCTATCTTTAGCGTGGAGAAGAAACTTCCTCCTTTGCCTCTGTCTAGGTTTTTGAGCACTTGCACACTGATACGTTTTATTTAAAAGAGTGTTTTCCACTCCTTTTTTCATTTTTAAGATTTTATTTATTGATTTGACAGAGAGCGAGAGAGCACAAGCAGGGGGAGCAGCAGAGGGAGAGGGAGAAGCAGGCTTCCCGCTGAGCAAGGAGCCCATTGGCGGGGCTCGATTTCAGGACCCTGGGATCATGACCTGAGCCGAAGGCAGACACTTAACCGACTGAGCCACCCAGGCACCCCAGTATTTTCCACTCTTAAAATGAGACTTGATATGTAACTTTATTATTATTCATAAAAGAATATTTATTGAGGATTTCTCTGTGTCCCAAGGACTGTGCTGACTCATTCCCCTCCCCGCATTACCCTCAGCACCCTCTGAGGAAGGCACTGTGGTGATCCCCAACTCTCAGTTCGGGGAGTGGATGTTTATGGAGAAACTGTCCCAGGATCACACGGTTCGATTTGTGAGCGGTAGAGACGAGGCGCCAACCCGTTTCTGGGTCTCCAGAGCCAAGCTCAACCACTTAAACAGTTTTGCTTACCAGTTTGAATAAGGGCATGTTTGTCAAGTGATTAGTATAAAAACATTGTTTAAAAATATTTCTCATTTCTTTAATCACTTAGCCCACAATTGCTTGCTTATCTCTTCTTATTGCCAAAAATAGTAATGTTATTTCATATGAGATCTTGTTTCTACTTCAGCCTTATTTTTAAGGAGGGTTTAGCCAAATGTTCCATTCATGAGGCTGACAGTTATTTCTTGATCTAATTTCCTTGTGAAACGACATTGTTTGATTCCAGACTGCAGTGCGTATTGTACCCAAAGAATGTGTTTTTAGGTTAAGCCGTGTAATTTTGCTTCAAAGTTTCCACATGAGAATCTGTTGAATTAACACAAGTATGTCATAGCCAAACTCACTTTTAACGTTGACTTTTATATCTCTTGCTCTCTCATTGTCCCCCAGCCTCCATGCACACAGGCATGCATGCTGCAGATACTTAGCGGCAGCCTCCATAAAGTGGTTTCAAACTCTTTGTGTTCTTGAAATAACTAAATGGTATTATTCAAAAGGCCTTTTGGAAAACTCTTCTCTTATGGTAGGAATAATTAATCAGCGGGGGGGAAGTCAAAATGTTTCGAATCAGCTAGAGGTTTCATTTAAAATGGCACACTGGATAAGTTAACATTCTTTCTGGATATATAGCAAATTAAGTAATGGTTTTATTTGGTATTTATTGAAGCATTATGTTTTCATATAGTGTCTGCTGTCTGAAATGTTAAAAATATCATTTATATCTCTTTTGCAAAGAAAATTTAATGTTTTCAAGTATCCGTGGGTTTCTGTTGAATCAACACCGTTAAGTGTTTTGAGAAAAAATATAATATTTTATTCTTAGGATAACGTTTCTCCCATTCTCTAGAAATTAATTAGCTTCTTTGTGGTTACCCTAGCCCTGCCCTTCCTTTTTATTACATTTTAAGAAGAATCTTTTGGTTTTGTCCTTGTATTGCTTAAACATTATTGGTTATTATAACTTAAACTATTATGAAAGCATTCTTAATTTTTAAAGTGATTCTAGTTTTGTTCTCTTAAGTGACTCTCTCTCTCTTTTCTCCTAATGAAGCAAATGAAAAAACACCCTTGCCGCCAGTGTGACAAATCTTTCAGCTCCTCACACAGCCTGTGCCGTCACAATCGGATCAAGCACAAAGGCATCAGGAAAGTTTATACCTGCTCGTAAGTCGTGATTTCTAATGTGGGAAGCACAGCAAAAGGATAAGGCGCGAACTTCTAGGTTTTTCATATGTTGCCATTAACTTTCCATTTCTCTCCTGTAGTTCATAGATTTTCAGTTTTCAGCTATATTCTGTTTTCTTGATTGGGTTGTAACACTCAAATAGGAAGATAAACAGCAGTAGCCTCTTGCCTACCCTGTGTACGTTCCTGGGTCCTTACCTGTTGTCCAGAGGTACCTGAGCATTTTGGAGAAGTGATTGATTTGCAGGTGCACATTTGAATGAGATGCTTTTTGGTCACTCTATGCCCAGGGAGTTGCCAACACTCATTGGCAGTTTGATTGTCCAGTTGATTGGTTCAGAGCAGACCCTGATAGGGCCTGGTCATGGAGTCAGTCCTAGGCTGACCTCTTTCCCTAATGCAGGGTGGCCTTTTCTCGGCACACACTTTTGGCTAAGAGACCAAATTCAAGGAATTGAGTGGGCAAGGACACCGAGTGGATGGTCGAGCCACTCTGGACAGCCACGAGCTCCTTCATTGTATATGAGAATCAGAACTGGTTATAGCCTTGGTGGAAAAGCTTTATCACCCACTCAACCAGAGCATGCCCGGGGGTGGTGGGCGGAGAGTCGATACAACAGGGTTACCTACTGTAAGGCACTTCTCGTAAAAGGGAAGACTAACAGGAACACAAGCCATGTAGCCGCGTGTAGCGTGTGGCATGATCAGAGCAGGGCGCAGGGTATTGTGTGGCTTGGGATGCTCGTGAAGGTTGACTAAGTTTGGCGAGGCTTTGGTGTTCTCGGTTAGCCAGGGAAAGTTTCTCGGGTAGGGAAACTGGGACATCGACTCTCCTTCGGTGAAATTGAAGCTGGGAGTGATTCTGGTGAGATGAAAACATCCTGTGACTAAGGCCTGCATGTGTGAGACTGCATTGAGAGGATCGGAGAACTTAGAAGGAAGTTCTGCGAGTCTGGTGTGGCTTTGTCCTTCCTCAGCTAGGTTTGTGGTGTATTTCCCTTGGGAGTCACTGTAAGGCTGAGCGATGCTTGGATTGTCCGGCTGGTTTCCTTTATTCTTTGGTGTTGGTGCTGGCTCCCGATGCTGCCCCGTAGCGGGTCTTGAACACGAAATCATCAGGGTGTGGGGCCAGTCATTACAGAATGTCCAGAAGCCTTTTGATTCTGCATAAGACCTTGTGCTGTTCACGCTCGTTCACTGCAGCGGTTTTCTTCATGTCTGCCTTACAGCGTCCATAGTCACCATGGTCATTAACTTTTTTCTTTTTGTCCGTTTCATTAAGAAAATGGTGAACTCATATCTTCTAAAGGAAAAACTGTCCATAATCTGCAGGTTTGGGTCCCCCCCCCCCCGACAAGGTGAAGTGAAAGCTTAAAAGATAGACCAATTTTGGATATCTGTTCAGTTTCCTACATTTTAACCCTGTGATACCATGTTTGTGCCTTGGTGAGGAATTTAAACAGGGCTAGGCACCCTGTCTTCTCTTTGTTATGGCAGAGTGGACAGGAATAATTAACATCCACGTGAAGGAATCGGGGAGGGACTTTTTCATTCTAAAGTATCTCTTATGACATAAATTCTGAGAGAACACTGAGTCATTGTAAAGAAAACTTTTGAAATTTGATATTTCTCTATTTAAAAATTAAAGCTCTCTAGAATTATAAATTAAGTAATACCTCAACCAAACCTAGACAAGAAATACTCCATCTGAACCTAATTAGGCTGGTCCCATAAGGACCCAAAAAAGTGACAGAAAGAATGCCTTTTACAAAAACCACAGAAATTTTGCTCACAAATTTGGAAACTGCAATTCATAGCGAAATTGCTGTTTCATTTTAGACCGTTGGTATTCATACAGATCATCTTGACCCCGCGGAGCGTCCTGTTGGCTGGTGGAGGTCTTTCCCCGACGAGCGTACTCTTGAGCGTGGGTTACTTTCCAGCAGGCAGGTTACCTCCTTGTCTTTGCTTCACAGGCACTGCCCAGACTCCAGGCGCACCTTTACGAAACGGTTGATGCTGGAGAAACATATCCAACTCATGCACGGTATTAAGGATCCTGACTTGAAAGAAATGACAGAAGCCACCAATGAGGAGGAAACAGAAATAAAAGAAGATACCAAGGTCAAACACTGCAGATGTTCTCTTTACAGTGACGTTGTGTTGACTTGCTTTTTCCATTCATGCTCTTCACTTTATATTTTTCTAAATCCAAGCCTATGCATGAAGGTATAAAATAATAGGTCATCTCCCTTCACGCCCATTCTGATCTTTCATCTTGCTCCTAAGTTTCTTCTCTTTCCAGAAACAGCCTGAGGGATCTACTTACGTATATAAATTACAGAATTTTGTGTGGACTCCCGTAAACGGTCTCTTAGCCAGAAGGACTGTAGAAAGCTAGATTCTTTCTTGTTGGCAGTATATCGGTTGTGAAAGGTACCTAATAAAAATGAAGAGATTCGTCTTCGTTTCACTTTGTAATAGTAAAAGATAAAATCACAAATCTCTGCCTTGTCCTTAGGTCAGTGGGTAGTGAACTTGACTTAGACAACAGTATATATATTAACCTGTGTATCAGGTATGTGTGTGCCAAGTGGTATTCGAGGAGGGAGCAGTCTGGCAGACGTTTAGGGAGATTCTGCTGTCTTCGGCACTGGGCTGCATCTGGAATGTACCTGGGTAACCGTCTGTGTGTGCGTTCCCGGAGTTAATCATTGAGTAAAGCCTAGTCAGAAGACAAGTCCGACAAGAGTCGCATTGTATTGTAATCTTTTTCCCCTCAAGTGATGGGAGTGGGGGGTTGGGACGGAATTGAAGAATCTTTGTGCAGGGGCAGCTTCAGGCCAAGGCTGTGTGTGAGTGGTGCCCTGTCAACGGGGCAGAAAAGATGGGCCACCGAACACGGAGGAGGGAGTGTCCCCGCAGCTTGGACTTTCCGGGAGCTGGAAGTGTGAGGGGTCAGACTTAGAAAGTTGGAAAGGAAGGAGAAAAGCATGGCCAGCGGGTGAGCCGTGTGCCGAAGGGGAGTGAGTGTGCAGGGGAGCTCGGGAAATGGGCCAGTCCCAGAAGAGGCAAAGCCCCGACATTTCTCTGCCCACCCCCCGCGTCCTCTCCGCATACCTGCTCACTCTGCAGCAGCCACGCCGGCCTCCCTTTGGGCCCCTAGGCCAGCTGCCGCCTGGGCCCCGAGCCTGGACCCCCGCGCTCCCCACAGCAGGCCTCGGTTCAGGTGCCACGGTCCCCAGGGCCATCTCTGCCTGTGCTGGGCAGTCTCACAAACCGCCCCCCCCACCTGTGCGTGCCATCCCCATTCCACGCCCTGCTTTGTTTTCCGGGGGTCCGACCCACGGCGATCTCCTGGCTTGTGCTTTTCTGTCCCGCTCCGTTGGAGCCTGCATTCCGGGGAGGCAGGGACTCGGTTGTCCGCTCCTGGGCCCCGCTGCTGCCGAGGTGCCTGGGAACGCAGGAGCTCGGGTCCCGTGTGTGGAGCAGATGAAAGGTGGGAGCCCCCGGGGGAGCAGGGGTTGTTGGGGGGCAGACACGCAGCTGTAGGAAACCCCGAACCCCGAAACCCACAGTCCTTGCTGCCCTCGCAGCTCTAAGGCCCAGGGAGAACCGGTCATGGATCACCCGCGGGGCAGAACCATTTTCACTTGTGTCTGCTTTGTTTTTTTCTCTCGAAGGTTCCCAGCCCCAAGCGGAAGTTGGAAGAACCAGTTTTAGAGTTCAGACCTCCCCGAGGGGCAATTACCCAACCACTGAAAAAGCTGAAGATCAATGTTTTCAAGGTTCACAAATGTGCCGTGTGCGGCTTCACCACTGAAAACCTACTGCAGTTCCACGAACACATCCCTCAACACAAGTCGGACGGCTCCTCCTACCAGTGCCGGGAGTGTGGCCTCTGCTACACGTCGCACGTGTCCCTGTCCAGGCACCTGTTCATCGTGCACAAGCTGAAGGAGCCCCAGCCCGTGTCCAAGCAGAACGGGGCCGGGGAAGAGAACCAGCAGGAGAACAAGCCGAGCCCCGAGGACGAGTCGCCCGACGGCGCGGGGTCAGACCGAAAGTGCAAAGTGTGCGCAAAAACGTTTGAAACTGAAGCTGCCTTAAATGCTCACATGCGGACACACGGCATGGCCTTCATTAAATCCAAGAGAGCGAGCTCGGCCGAGAAATAGCCACAGCCCTTCCGTAAGGAAAATCCCTGTCCACATTGGAAAAAGAGACATTTTTGTTACAAAAAGTTTGCAGTATAATAGAGTTAACAGTACTGTCTAGGCTGTTGCAATATATTCTCTCTGAGTGTACCTTCACCTCGTCGTGTATCCTCGATAAGTATTAAAACAGTATTTGAGTTTAAAAGAGTTTGTATATATTTAAATGAATAACTTTTTATACTCTTTGTTACATGTTTGTATCAGTATTTAGTGGAAAATGTTTTGAGGTTTTATTTTTTTTTTCCTTTTTTTGGTTTTTTGGTGTTTTTTGTTTGTTGTTTTTTTTCCCCCCCCCCCGGGTTAGAATTTTTCTTTTTGTACTGTTTCTTTTAAAACAGAGTTCTTAGTAACAGGGGCAGTTCCTGAATTCAAATAAACCATTTTGTATGTTACCGATTTGAATGGGTTACTAATTCCAGGCTAAGATAATGCCTTTTTTAGTGTTTTTAATTTTTAGAATTCACTACATAAATTGTAGGTATTGTGGGTCTCAAAAACACTAGGGACTTTTAAGTGTCTTAGCATTACCCTCAACGTGCCTGCTCTGAGTCGGTGAGTGCACCTCCGACGTGTCGCTGCACCCCCAGCACGTGGCATTTTCTTCCAGGCCACGCCAAACGGTGTTGAAACCAGCCCTGCAGGTAGCTTCTTTCCCAGCAGCGGATTAAAAACTTCAGCCAGAACGCCAGGAAGGAGCGTGCATTTCCCTAATTCCACTGTAGAGTGGGGAAGGAAGGGCATTCCAAAGGGAAAACCCAGAGGCCGGTGGTTTTCTGGGCGGATTTTGCAAGGCTGGCCGAAAGAGCACAAGGTCAAGTCACAAAAGGGCTGGACTACTGTAAAAGTTACACATCTGTAGTTAGAACAATAGATTTCTACAGTCTAGTTTTTTGTCATGTAATTTATTAACTCTTACAAAGACACAACTAAAAATATCAAGTATTTCTCTGGCTCTTGACAGGAAAAAAAAATCACAGTTGACTTAACCCTTTGCTGTCTAAAGAGTTGGCGTTTCCTGTTCTGGGTGCTACTGCCAAACGTTCTGGTACTTGGAGTTGGAATGCACAACTTCTACCACCGACCTATCAATGCAGCAAGTGCGGGTCGCGATTGGCCGGGCGGTCACGCACTGAGCCACCAGGCTTCAGTTCGGTCGTTTCAATAAGTATCTTCAATATCAGGAGTTCTGCTTCATCGAAACGCAGCAGGGCTACTGCTCTGTCCCTTCCGTTTATAGTTCTCTGGGAGAGTTCTCTATTTTTCAGTTTTTGGTTTTTTTGTGTTTTCTTTGGCATTTTATATCTTGTATTTATCCCTAAAACATGTTTTGTACTTTTTTTTTTTTTAAAGAAAAATTCGTTTGTGTATATATAGATACTTGCATGATATACTGTAGTCAACGTTCGGTTCCTCAAAAGGTCTTGCTGCTGTCAGGTGTTATGCACTACATCCATCATAACTGTATTAAACACATTTCATATGTAAATAAACGCGGGACATTAGCCCTTGTGCTTTTGTGAGAGTTATTGATGGTGGTCTCTGACATCTCCATGAAGTTGAGGAAGTGATTAATGGCAGGAACAGGCTGCAGGATATTGCAGAATTCTTACCCCCTCCCTCCCCCCCCCCAAGAACGGCATATTCGTTCTCATTAGCAATCAGCTCTTTTGTCACTTTCTCGTCAACTCCCATCAATTCATGGGTATAATGCAAGGGCGTGATAAAGTATTCCTACACTTGAAATTCAATTACTGTTACTTGTTATATTTATACTTGTGTTACTCTAAGTTGTATTCATAGCATTTTCATGTGTTTCTGCATTTTAACCTTGCAATAAACCTGTGTGGTGGGCTGCACGGGTCTTAAAATAGTCTAGTTTTACAGTTGAGGAAGCTGAGCTCAGATTCAGTTCTTTGCCTAAGCCCTCACAGTGGGTAAGTGGCTTTGCGTATTAGAACCCAGATATTCTTGCTCTAAATCTTAGTGCTCGCTCTATGTGTTTATGTACATATTGACAAATACTCATTTATTCAACAAATAAAAAGTATGTGCAAAACACGATACTAGAATTTTTGTTTGTGGCACTATGGCTTTTATCAGATAAAGTGAAAGTCGCTCTGAAGTACCCAGAAATGCTTGTCAGTATAAAGTTAGTGTCCATAAATGCTCAGTTGAGCACCCAAGAAAGTTTCAAAGAATGCCCTGAGATCCAAAATGAAGAAATTGAAATCCAGAGTAGAAAAACAGCACACAGGGCTATCGCCCTGGGAGGGAACCTGGATGGTTCAACTGAAGAGAGAATTGGTGAACTGGAGGATGGGTCGTGAAGAAATTACCTGGAATACAGCACAGAGGTAAGGAGATGAAATCTATGGAAGAAATTAGAAGTCAAAAAGGACAAAATAACAGGATTCATAGCCATTCCAGAAAGAGGGAACAGAATAGAGAGGCTATCTCTATCTCTATCTCAAACGAATTATCTTAGCCATTAGTGAAAGACGTGAACACTTGGGCTGACTCGGTTGAGTGCTGAGCAGAAATCCACAGTGGAACTTGTGTGAGTTCTACCCATTCTTCACTAGTGGTGGGTCTGGTTGGAATTGCAGATGTGAGAACTTGAGAAACAGGATATATTCAGACCAAAGGCAGAAACTGGGGCATGCTCCATGAATTCTTAGGAAGCCCATTTCCTCGGTTCAGAGTGAGCTGAGGCTTACAGTGTAGGCTCAGGCCAACATGTAAAAAGCCTTGAATGATGGACTAGGGTTTGTACTGTGATAGAGATGAGTTATTTGGACAGGGGAGTGATAGAACCAGATTAGTCGGCGGCAGTATTTAGGATGGAAGGTGGGGGAGCGTATCAATCAGGACCAGTTAGGTTATGCTGTGGTTACAACCCTAAATCTTAGTGTCTTAAAACAGCAAGACTTCTCTCTTGGTCACATTTGATGTTCGTTGTCGGTTGGCTGGAGACATAGCTCGAAACCCCCTTGTCTCCTTACTCCCACTGTCACAGAAAATTGCTGGTTCCTCTGGCAAAGGGAAAGTGCAATTAAATGCTCTTGGCTAGAAGTGACAGATGTCACCCTTCACAGTTCATTGGCCAAAACCAGTCCCATGATCCTGCCTCCTCACAAGGAGGCTGGAAGTACAATCCTACAATGTGCCCAGAAGATGAAGGCTGCACATATTTGAGCAGCATAAATGGCCATCACAGTCATAACGTTTAAATTGGTCAAGATCTGGTGCTAGCCCAGCCATGGTCATGAGGTGAACTTAGGGTGGTGAGAGTAGGCCTGGAAAGAAGCTGTGGTTGTAGGGGTCATTTCAGAACTAGTACCAAGAGGATTCCATGCTGTGGGAAACGGAGAAAGAAGAGGAATCAGACTTCTTAAGGTGATTTCTTAGATTTTTTTTTTCAAGGTTTAGATGACTTAAATAGAAATGGGAAAGTCAAGATTATAGCTAACTTTGGGGAAGTTTGCACTTTAGACATGCATACAAGATATGTTTTTGCTGGAGGATGTGGTTGGATGGTTTTATTTTATCAATAATTGAGTTAACAGTAATGCATAAAGAAGAATGCCAACAAGGGGATGAAGACTATGACAATGAGAAAAAGGAGGGTGTTGGCTCAGACTACATGGTGTAGACCGCTTCTTCCTCCCAAACACATTTTCTGCCAATTCTTGGCTCCTACTTCAGTAAGTACTCCAAAGAGCTACTGTTCCATCCGGAAGCCCCAGGTCAGTGGGCTTGTGAGTTCCGTCCCAGGATCTCTGGCCAACAGGGAGATTGACGGTAGGAATCTTTGGCCAAGATGAATATATTATTTCATGTTAATGTATCCATCATCCTGTGAGCGCTGTTGTTGTTGTTTTTTTTTTCTTTTAATGCCTAAGTGGAAGGGGGCAAAAAGGAAAATGTGTTTGAAGAATTGCATACAATATGATTTAATGGAACCATGCGTCTCTCCCAAAGAATGGTCTGAGAATAACGAGGGATGTGCTAAATGTGGAAAGCTGCTTGTGACATTTATAAATGTTGCACAAAAGACACAGTCACTTGGGAATCAGATGCTGGAAGGGTCCCCTATTGGAGCTCTTCAGTCTAAATGTACATTTTCTACATAAGGAACCTGGATTTTGTTTCCTTAAAAACTTGGCTCCTACTTTATACAATTCACTCCTTGCTTACATTGACCCTTGACTCGTCTTTGTTTACTTTGAGTTTCTTGCAATTAGGAACCTCATATCCCTCAAGAGCTCATTGTAAACTTTTGGGATAGGACAGTGGGAACTTAGGTCTCTGCAAAGAGCCTCTTTCTGCTGCTAGGAGCTTCTAGACTAGCCAGTTGTAATTCCGTTGTCACCAATACCTCCAAAACTTTTTTAAAAATTTCATTTATTTATTTATTTGACAGCATGAGCAAGAAGGGAGGAGCAAAGGAAGAGGCAGAAGCAGGCTCCCCCCTGAGCAGGGAGCCCGATGAGGGACTCAATCCCAGGACCCTGGGATCCTGACCTGAGCTGAAGGCAGATGCTTAACCAACTGAGCCACCCAGGCACCCCTCTTATTTTTTTTCAAGATTTTATTATTTATTTGAGAGAGCAAGCATGAACAGGGAGTTGGGGCACAGGGAGAGGGAGAAGCAGACTCTCACATGAGCAGGGAGCCCCATGCGGGGCTCCATCCCAGGACCCTGAGACCATGACCCAAGCTGAAGGCAGATGCTTAACCAACTGAGCCACCCAGACACCCCGCAAATCTCTTAATTTTGAATAGCCCAGCCTTGGTCCACATGATTTGGCGGCGAGGCTCAATCTGAAACTTGGCTACTGTCAGTCTTCCCTATAAAGTAGAACATTCTCTGTTCACCTCCATTTTTCCCTTCTACTGTCCCAGTAGATTTTGATGCACATTTTCCTGGACTCAATACATTGGATGATACAACTTCCATCATTTTGGCCTGTTTTTTCCTGGGAGTTTGCTCGTTTATATTCACTGCCTTCATTGGAAAGGTAGATCTGGGAGTGCCCAGCATTAGATCCTTTGTGAATGAGGGTCCTAGCAGGACACAACCAGCACACTAAGAAAGGTTTCACTTCAAAGAAATTCAGGAAGGGACTGTTACAGAAAGTGCCGACTGGGAACAAGTGATAACAAGGCATCCGGGGACTTAGCGATGGTGGGGAGCC